GCAGTCCCCTCGTGGATTATGCCCGGCACCTTGGCACCTGTGTATATACTGCTCCCTCTGACCTTACTGCCCTGTCTTAGGGCTGCTTGTCTGGCAGTGGTTAGTTAATGCTGCAGAACCAGGTTAGCCATCTCCCCAAGGAGCTCTTCTAGAGCTTCTCTCCACCTTCCACCTTGACAAAGATGATTTAGACAAGTTCTTTACTATGTGTCACTTTCTTTTCCTTCTCTAGTGTCCAGTATAATGCTAACATTTATTTGAATGAATGAAAGAATTCCAGTAACCAGCTTCGTATCAGGAACATATGTTGATTTTATCTTACCTGGAGCTTGGCTCCTTTTAATTGTTAAGTCTTAACCATCTTATTCTGACCAAAACCTACTATCCTAGTAATGAGTAAACGAAAAAGTCTTCACCTCCCTGCTGCTGCATTTAACCTAGACAGGTCATCACTTTATTCTGAAATATTTAAGGATAGGAAATAATTTTTGTGTTGTACTTGAAACAAAAAAAGAATAATCGGCATTGCTTGCTGATTTCTTTTGAGACAGGTGCTTTGTTGTGAAAGTGAAGTAATGGCTTAGAGATTGTCAGAGCTAGATCAAGTTCTGGAACCACACAGTACTTGACACCCCCAGTTGGAATGTGTCACAAACATGATCTCAGCATACCCAAAACTGAACCCATCAGTTTCTTGCTGAGAGTTCATTGATGAAAGGCATTACTAAATGCCTACTCTCTTGATTAGAAATTTGTCATTCTGGAATCCTGTCATAAACTCCGTATCAAACCACTGGTAAGTCATGTGTTTGGATTCCCCAGTGTCACTCATATCAAGCTTGCATTATCCCGTTCTAATCTCTGCCTCCAAATTTATGGCTTTTCCCTAAATGACAGATGAGTGGTTCACTAAATATAGATCCATCTACACCAGTGATGTTCAAACTATGGTTCAGTCTGGTTGCGGGAAGCAAGGACTTCATTTTGCCTGTTAATGCCTAGATCTTGGATTATCTGGATGACTTTTTCTGATGGCACTAATGTCAAAGCAATATTCTTTTTAATGATAGTTAATAAGACAAATTTGATATGTAAATGATGCATTTTTTTCTCATGAAAGGCAACTGATAAAAGGAGAATTGTTGCAAAACAGTCATCTATTACATGACTAGAATGCAAAGGAACATGTTTCATTAACAGTTACTACTCTTATGCTATGTTCTTTCAGCAAAGCCACATCATCCATTGTTTAAGGTCATTTGAATTTTACTATTTCATAATCCTATTTGTATTTTTCAATCCTCTTTTTTAAAGATTTATTTATTTATTTGAAAGGCTGAGTTAGAGAGAGAGAAGTCGATTGGGTTGACTCCCCAAATGGCCAGGGCTGGGCCAGACAGGAGCCAGGAGCTTCATCTGGGTATCCCATGTAGGTAGCAGGTGCCCAAGTACTTAAGCCACCCTTTACTTCTTTCCCAGGTGTGTTAGCAGGGAGCTGGATTGGAAGTGGAGCAGCTAAAGACAGGAACTACTCCCATATGGGATGTTGGCATTGTAGCTAGTGTGCTCCTGCTCTGCTGTTCAGATTAAAAAAAAAAAATTAAAAACCAGGTAGCGTCTGATACCCATCCCTTTGAATATGAGCTGTCAGTAGAGACTTGACAAACAGAAGAGATGACTTCCAAGTGTAGTTCATAAAAGATTTTGCCTGGTTATCTCTCTCTGGGGAAGTATGTTCTTGCAATCTAGGTACCATGAGACCACATGCAAAATCCCATGTGGAAAGCAACTGAGGCACCCAACCAACAGTTAGCATCAACTTCCAGATGTATGAATGAAGGAGCCCTCAGAGGATTTCAGCTCCATTCTTAAATTCCATTTGAAAAAAAATCCTGACATAATGGAGCAAAATTAAACCATCTTGTGTCCTGGCCAAGTTCCAAATCCATAAAATTCATGACCATAATAATGGGTGTTTTAAGCCTTCATGTCTTGGGATAATTTGTTATGCAGCCATAGTAACTGGACTAGCCTCCATTCCAACTACACTTGGAAGTATGTATGTATGTAGTAAGTAATGACCTAAGAAAGCAATCGAGGATGGAAAATACATAATTTCAAGTTACTGCTGGCTTATTGTATATCATTCAATGGGTAAATCCTCATCTCAAATGATTATCTCAACTCCTGTATCACAACCACTGTGGTTTGACTATATACTCACATATTTTGTTAAATATTTGCAAACAAGGTCAGTTTTAAACACCTTATTCTTAGAGCTTTATAAAAATATATAGGGGGCCAGCATTGTGGTGTAGTGGATATCAGACTTTTTAAAATTTTTTATTTTTTAATCTGAACGGCAGAGCAGGAGCACACAAGGGAGATGTCTTCCATTTGCTGGTTCACTCCCCACATGCCTGTAATAGCCCTTCCAGAACTGGGCCAGGCTGTAGCCAGGAGCTGAGAATCCAGTCTGGGTTTCTTATGTAGGTTCCAGTGACCCAAGTCCTTGAGTCACCACCTGCTTCCTCCCAGGGTACACATTAGCAGGAAGCTGGAAAGCAGAGCCAGGACTTAATCTCAGGCACTTTGATATAAGATGTCAGTGTCCCATGTGGCATCTTACCTACTGTGCCAAATGCTTGCCTGAGTCTCCCATTTGATGGGAGTTGTATAGAATTAGAAATTATGCTGTGCCCATTTTTGGAAAACATAATAACCCATATAGGCCATATGAACTTGCAGGATCCTCTTACTCTCAGGGATCTTTCAGTTACACATTTAGTGTTTTACATTTGCTCTCAATAACAAACATCTGGAGGCAGGAACTAATATATATTGTTTACTCTTATAAACAGTGTAATTTGCTTCAGTATTTAAGAATATTGTTCTAAAAATTGAGAGAAACTGGGAGCAAATAGCTTGTGAAACAATGAGATTCATAACATACATTAAATGTGAACCTGATTCTTGGCTTTGGCCTAGCCCTGGCTGTTAGAAGCATTTGGGAAGTGAACCTGTGGATAGAAGATCTCTCCCTCTCTGCCACTCTGCCTTTCAAACAAATAAATCTTTCAAAACAAAAGAGAGAGAAATCAATAAAAGTCTGTGAATGATGAGGGTTGTCAATGAGGCAACTCAGGTTCCAATTTGACAGGCAGCTAATCAATGAAACAGACACACTAATCTGGTCTCACTCTGACAATCCCTAAGCCTTCAGCCATTGCTTTCCCAAAGGCATTAACAAGGAGCTGGATCAGAACCGGAGCAGCCAGGAGTGGAACTGGGACAGGGATATGGGATTGCGGATGGTGACTTAATCCACTGCACCACAGTGTCGGCCTCAGAGGGGATGTTCTTGTGGTCACATGTAGCCGTGTGTATAAGTCTCTGTAGCTGCAGCTCAGAAACATGCTCCAAAATAGGTTGTACCTTATGTCGTAAGACTGGGGCTCCTCCTGGGGTGGAAATCTTAGTATTTACATGAAGTAAAGCGTGGCCTCAGGGTGCTCTTGACCCATCCGTGCAGGCACTGCTCTTGCAGTAGGGCCTGGACCTGTCCCGCGTGGCTGGGGACTGTATCTCCTCCGAATGTGACTGAAAACCTGAAAGGATTTGGGAGGTCATCAGGAGCTTTTTAGGGTCTTGAAATAGAGATGAGTCACAACAAAGACTGTTGAGCTGCTTGGGGCATTAGCCGCCGTTAGTTCATTTGCCATCCTATGAAATGATCTAATTTCATTGAGACTGACGTTCCTCACAAAATGTAGGTGACCATAATTTAAAAGTTAATACATAAAACTATTTCAGTCGGCATTTGACCCCTAGTAATTGCTTTAAGGAAGGCCAACTTTCTCCCTGCTCTAGGGTCGGTTTCAGGAAGAATTTTCAGTCGTTTACAAAGCTTAAGCTTTTTTTTCCTTCTTTTTTTTTCTTCTTCAGGCGGCACGCCACGAAACAGGTCCCCGGATGTCCAAGTCATGGCAAGGTCTCTCAATAATTCCGCTTCAAGCTACTGAAACAAATCTCTGTCAGCTTTGCGAGGCCAACTGGGTTTCCTTTAGTTGTAGTTCTCTTCAGATACTCCCCCTTAGGGTAACTCTGTCACCTTGAGGAGTGCACCCTCAGGCACCCTCGCCACCACGTTTGCGTCCGGACAAAGGGCACGTAGCCTGGAGGCTCCGGCGCCTGCGTCATTCCGGCCACATCCCCTCGGTGCCCGCGTCTGCGGCGTGAGGGAAACTGAATGCTGAAGATTAGATGACTTAACCCTCATAAAGCGCCTAGTGCAGTGCCAGGCACTTCGGACGGGCTCAAGAAATATCGCTGAGAGCTTAGTTGGTTGAAACAATGCCCCACGGGTTTACAAGCTCCAAGTATCTTCCTGAATGTGGTCATTCCCCCCTCGCTGCTCCTGTCAAGCACCCATCACACATCGACTCTCCCCCAACCGCTTCTCTCTGGCCGTTGAACTCGCCAACGCGACTTTCTTCTTCAGGCGCCAACACAGGCTTTCTTCCTCAATAGTTTATCTACGCTGTGGCTTCACTCCGTTACCTCACACGTCCACAGCGCTTTCTCCTCGCCTGCTCCTGTGGACTGGACGGGCTAGGACGGGCCGTGGAAGCTCCGTTCCCTGGTGACGCGCGCCGGGCTGCCGGGGAACCTCAGCCCCAGGCCCGGCCCGGCCCGGCCCGGCCCGGCCAGCACTGGGTGAGCGCCCCGGGCGAGGGGCGGGGCGAGCCGAAGAGGCGTGGCCCTGAGGAGGGGTGGGTGTGGCTCTGCCGGCGCCCCGCAGGCGCAGGAAGTGGTGTCGACGCACTGAAGGGAGGGCAGCCGGAGTGGGCGGGGCCCCGAGGCCGGTGTGCCGGGCAGACCGGGCCCGGGCGCCCACCGGGGAGGGGGTGCCAGCTCGGTGGAGTGGCACTGGGCCTGCTGGAGTGGGCGGGGCCCTGAGGCGGGGGCGGAGCCCGCTTGGCGGAGTGGGAGGGATCTGCGGGAGAGGGCGAGCCCTTGCAGGGGGGCGGGGCAAGGCCGGTGCAAGCAGAGCCGGGCCATAGGCTGACAGACAGCCGGGCCAGCGCAAGGGGCGGGGCGGGCCCGCGGCCACCTGGGTCCTGTCACAGTTAGAGGTGGCTTTCGGCGCTCAGTTCCCTGGGCACCAGCTGCACTGGCGGAGTCTGCGCGATGGGCGACCCGGAAAGGCCGGAAGCGGCCAGGCCCGAGCAGGGTGAGGTAAATGTTGCTGTCGCTTCTTTCCCCGCCCCGCAGTCACGCCTGGCCCTTCCGTTGTAAATTGCCGCGGGGAGCTGCAAGTTGGGGATACGCAGTAGGGAATTTTTGTTGGTTGACGTCAGAAGCCCCTGGGCCGGCGGGTCGTGGTTGGGAGCGCCCGGGAGGCGTCCCGGGGGAGCGGCGGGGAGGGAGCCGGGTTTCCGCTCGGCCGCTCGGCTCCGAGGCCGAGGCCCCGGGGTGAAGCGCACCCCGCGTTGGTCCGGGAAACTGAGGCGAGGAGGGCGGAATGTGGCAGGTCGACCGGGATGGTCTAAGGGAGTGGAAACTGACACAGGTGTATAGGGGAGGTGGCCGAGGGGACGGATCCTCCAAACACCATGAAGAACAAAATGAGGCGGCCAGTTGGGCGCTGGTCGTGCTACTTTGAATCTTGGGGGCGTCACTTTCTCCATTTACACAGTGGAAGTGATACTAAGCTCACAGAATAAGTAAAATACTTTATGCAAAGTGCCACGGAAGTTGTGGGTTCCTGATAAACCTGTCACTTGTCCAGGCTCAGACGTCTGTAGTTACAGTAAAGAGCAGGGCTATATGGCCCCTTAAGCTGTGGCTCCGTAATTTGCAAACTCTGTTATATTGCAAATACTTATAACCCGTTTGTGAACAAGAGAAATGCTTTTTGTGCTTAAGCGGGTTGCTCTGTGTGTTATCTTTGAGTTATTACTGTGAAGATTGGGCATTTCAGCACAGAGATTTATGCTGAGCCCTACATTTCTTTAGAAATGTTTAGAAAGTTTAAATTCCAGATTTGGGATTTGATTTGACTTGCTTTTGGTTTTGTGAACATTTAGTAACAAATCAACAAATTGCACATACCCCTCAAATGCTTCTTCCTCTTTTGATACAAATACTGTACAGTTAGTACCAATATCCTCACTCAGATGGAAAAATTTGGATTGTGCTAAAGGCACCAGTAGTTGTTCAGGCTTAACACCTGGAAGTCAACTTAAAAAAAAAAAAAAAGCTCATTTGTTTTCATCTGTTTGAAAGACACACTCCCCAAATGCCCACAATGGCGTGGCTGAAGCCAGAATCCTGGGATTCCATCCGGGACTCCCACATGGGTGGCAGGAACCAGATGACTGGGCCCTTCATTACTGCTTTCCAGATGCCTGAACAGGGAGCTGGCTGAACTGCAGAGCGGCAGGTGCTGGAATGGCTGTCGGTCTAATACGGTGTGCTCCTTAACCCAGTGCTCCTTAACCCACGCGCCCACCCCATCAGTGTGGTACAGACACAGACTGGGGCAGAATTTTGGTTTGCGAATAAATTTTACATAATGAACACCTGGAGCAAAAGCTTACTAGTTGAGGTCCTAAAGGGTGCTTAAAACACACTTTAGGTGGGATGGCTCCATTTGAGATCTGCATCGCAATCACCTGGAGTACTTTGTTAGAAATGTAAATTACTGGGTCCACACCCCAGACCTAGTAAATCAAAACCTTTTGAGATGGGTCTGAATGTGAATGCTTAACAAACACTTCAGGTGATTCTGGTGTACATCTTTTAAGAAACTCCATACATGGGCTTGAAGTGGGTTTATGATCTCTTCAAATTTTTTGTAGCTTTTCTCGAAATTAACAGTTACTTATCTAATTCATCATCCCTATTCTGCAGGTGAGAAAGTTTAGGCCAGGAAACATTAAATAACATGTCCAGGAGTCAGCAATAGAGACAGATTTAAAATCAAGTTCTTGTGCCTCTATAGTATTCCATCAACTTTGTCAGATTTGGTGGGAATGGAAGAATTGAAATTGGGACGTTTACTGAAAATTTTGAGGGTTCTGGCCGTATATTTAGATAAGAATTCTAAATATTGGCTGCTTGTAAATGAAACAAGCAACGTGGTACAGTTTTTAAGCATTTATTTAGTGAGAGAAATACGCAGAAAAGTGAGGGCTTTATTTAGGGGAGAAAGAAGTCTAGAAACTAAGTTGGGTCTATACCAGGCAGTAGCAGGCCAGGAGCCCCTTGGAGCGCGCCTGTAGTTTGGTTCAGCCACAGCTGCTGGAAGAAAAGCAGAGAAGGCTGTGGGTCGGGAGGCACAGGACTACATTGACAGGGCCCACCATGCTCCAGGCCTTTTATTCAGAATGAAAATGAGAATGAGGCCTACAAATAGTATATAGTATGACATCACAAATAGTATATACTATGACATCACAAATATTCCACTAAGTGGGGGAAGTAGAAGAGAGATACAAGCAGATGGAAGTGGTGGAACTGGGGCTGGATGGGAGGTAGGAGCCATGTAAGATGCCACATTGCCCTGGCATGCCCAGGCATGCTGCAGGGATGCCTGCAGACCAGCAGAAACTGAAGGACTATTTTAGAAAGGACAGGAATGTTGCGAAGGGATGCCCACTGGCAAACTGCATTTCAGTCTTTCACCACTTTATACCTGCACAGCAGCAACTTAACTGTCTCTCTACCTCCAGCATTACCTGTCTCAGGAAGTGACCAGTTGAGGCCGGTTTTGCAAGTGGTGAGGAGAGTTCACTAGAGCAGTGGTGCACAGAGAGAAGTGAACAGTTAGGTTTATTAAGATACGGCGAGGAAGCAGTGGGTGAGCTCACAACAGCTGCAGTGTGAACTCTGCTCTGGGAGAAATGTAGTGAAGCAGATTGTCACCTCCAGGGACTTTTCCATCACTAGTGGTTTCCTTATTGCTGGGGATTTTTACCAGGGGCTTCCTTATTGCCAGGGCCACATTACCTGTCGTCCAATCCTATTTACCATTGCCAACTCACTTCATTAAACAAGTGCTTCCATGTTAATTTCCCCAATAAAAACTTCCAAAAGGGTCTTAATAACTATTAAAAAAATGGCCAATCTCTCAGGCTGGCAAAGTCTCTTTGAAGCTGATTGCCACATCTTAAATTCAGGTCCCCTTTTGCAGCTCTAGAATTGATACTGTAGTCCCTAGCAAAATCTAGTTGTTCTCTTTTCTAATTCAGCTTCACATAGATGTCGATTATTCTTCCTGATGCCACCTCTACTCATCCTAATTCCTATGTAGAAATGCTCTATGACCATCCATAGGAACGATTTTCAAACTATGCCCCACAATGAATGCTGGCACCTGGGGTCTGGGGGGGTGAGTGGGGAACAATTGGAGTTTGAGCCTCCAGGCCCCAGATATTTGAAAATTGTTGGCCTGTAAAATTAATTCCTAATCTCTTAGCCTGAATGATATACAGAATCTAGATACTTTACAGGATTTTTTTTAAACTGGTGACCCTTTGCTTTATCCGAATCAGATCATGTCTGCCTTTCCTTTTGTTTGTCCTGCACCCATTTCAGTGTTTTCACCCCAGCTGGCTCCTTGTCTATCTGTTAATTAAACACCGGCATTCTCTAAGACTGCATCTGCAGTTGTCTAGCTTCTCTATGGATTCTCCCTACATAATCCCATCCCTTCCCTTGGCAGCCCCAGTGGGATCTCCATCACTTCTGTGTCGTTGTGGTGTATTTTCTGCTGGACACTAGATGTCTTGAAGCCAAATTATCGTTTTTACCGGCTACACTGCTTTAGGGCTTTTGTGTTTGTAACCTGCTGATGTATCTTGGGTTGCTGGAAGAAGGTGCTTCAAATTCTATTTACCATCTGATGTGAGAAAGAAATTTTTCCTGATTTATTGTTATTCTCAAGGTACTAAGACCCTTCTGTGTGCCTCTTCTTTCTTATTATGATCAAGTGCACCTGATGTCTGGAGCTGAAAATATCAAGCACATCTTAACTTGTCCTTATGTTGTTGTCCCAAATCCAACTTTTTTTAAAAAAAGATTTATTTATTTATTTGAAAGAGTTACACAGAGGAGAGGCAGAGAGAGAGAGAGGAGAGAGAGAGAGAGAGATCTTCCATCAGATGGTTCACTCCCCAGTTGGCCGCAACGGCCAGAGCTGCGCCGATCTGAAGCCAAGAGCCAGGAGCTTCTTCCGTGCAGGGGCCCAAGAACTTGGAACATCCCCTGCTGCTTTCCCAGGCACATTAGCAGGGAGCTGGATCGGAAGTGAAGCAGCTGGCACTGGAACTGGTGCCTATAGGGGATGCCGGCACTTCAGGCGGCAGCTTAACCCACTGTGCCACGGCACTGCCTCCCCCTAGTCCAAATTTTTAGCAAGAATAATTATACTCTGAATATTTCTAAACTCAGTCTCTTCTTGTATATGTTTCTACTGTTGAAATCCCAGTTCAGGCAAGAGATGGATAGTTCAATAATCTTTTTCTTTTTTTTTTAAGGCCTTATTTATTTGTTTGAGAGGTAGAGTTACAGACAGAGAGGAAGACAGAAAAGTCTTCCATCCACTGGTTCACTCCCCAAATGGCTGCAGTGGCTGGAGCTGGGCTGATCCAAGGCCAGGAGCCAGGAGCTTCTTCTGGGCCTCCCACCCAGGTGCAGCACTTGGGCCATCTTCCACTGCTTTCCTAGGCCATAGCAGATAGCTGGATAGGAAAAGGAGCAGCCAGGACTCAAACCGGTGCCCATATGAAGTGCCAGGACTGCAGGTGGCGGCTTTATCTTCGACACCACAGTGCCAGCCGCATTCCATATCTTTTAATTGTTCTGTGAACTTATAATTTCATTTCTAGCCACATTTTGACAAAAGTAATCCTAAACACAGATCTGATTATGTTACTTGCATGATCAAAACCCTGTAGCAGATCCCAATTGTCTAGAGACCAGGTGCCAAAATGTCGTATGTCAAAGTAGGCCACTTGGATCTACTCCAAAATTAAAAAAAAAAAAAAAACAAAACTTTTTTTTTGTTTTCTTTTGTCAAAATGATGACACTGAGGTAAAGAAAGTATCAAAAATGGTTATAAGAAAATTGCTATGGCAAAATTCACATTTTTACATTCAAGGCCATTCTATGGGCTTTGACACATGAGCCCATTCACCAAACAAAATTGATATTCTCCAAACCCAGCTGATGA